AATACTCACTAAAGGAGAAGGAAATCAAGTGGAGCAAATAGGAAAATGATTTTTGTTCTTTTGGTGGTAGTGTGGTATTTGAACTCAGGGCCTTGTGCTTACAAGGTAGATATTCCACCACTTGAGCCACACCCTAGCCCTTTCCATTGTTTTAGCTATTTTTCAGATAAGGTCTCACACTTTTTACCTGAGGCTAGCTGTGGATGGTGATCTTCCTCCCTAGGCCTCCCGTGTAGCTGGAATTATAGATGTGTACCACCATGCCTGACTTGGAAAATGATTTTTTAAATTACTGCTAGAAGAAGGATTGACAGCTATAGTCTCGGTCTTGATAAGTTTCTATTTTAAAATTGATTCCTAGAGAAAAAGTAAAAAGAAACTGCAATTGTTTGGATAAGAATGGGAAAGCTGTAGCAAGATTAATTGAAATGATCAAATAAGGTGCAGATACAGGTTCTGTGTTTTTAAAAACTGAAACAGGCTTGAATTAAATGTGGAGGAAGATTAGTTGCAAGAACATAATTGTTGAGTCTCTCTTCATACTAAAACCCACCTGTGGGTTGGTGGAATGGCTCAAGTGATAAAGCGCCTGCCTAGCAAACGTGAGTCCATAAGTTCAAACCCTGGTTCTGCCAAAAAGCAAAAAAAAAATTCACCTACCTGTATCCCGTATTTTAGAGCCATGGAACTGCCAAGAATCTTCCTTCTCCGTGTGGTCTGTGGAGCTGGGCGTGGGCTTGTGAGAGATGCACTCTCAGGCCCCATGCCAGTCCTACGGTGTCAGAATCTGTATTTTAACAAGATTCTGCAGGATTTATCTGCACATTTAGGTTTGAGAAGCACCAAACAAAAATGGTTCTCTCAGTGTCTTCTAGCTGCATCTCCATTGATAATCTGATTATTAATTTTCAAATAAAGTTGTGTCTTGTTTTAATGCAGCAACTGTGATTCCAAGAAATTGTACATAAAATTCAATGAAATGAAATTAAATCATTTAAGACACACAGGGGGTGTTTGTGATTAAAGAGATTCTGCATGGATCCTTTGAGAAAATGAATAATTCTGTGAATTACCTGTTCCCTCTCCCTATCTCCTTGTTCTGTTCTGTGAGTTGGAGTTTTTCCATCTGGTAGGGATTCTTCTCAGGATGCCACAAAAGAAGAGAACCTGCTTTTTGCTCAAACTCTCAATTACTAATACAGAAGTGGTAGTAATTGAATCAGCAGTCCTGAAGTGAGTCAAGATAAGGAATGCTGATCATTACCGTACCTGATTACAGTAACAAGATCATTTAGTTAGATAAAATGTAATTAACCACTTTGGAATGTGTCCAAATGATGATGGCTTCCCTCCCACCATCTCCTGTTCTTTGACCTTAAATTAAATCTTGCTGGAATTTCTCCCTGATAATACTTAGCAGGTTAAAATCATGATGATGATATGTTTTCAGTGTGTTTTAAAAGATTAAACAAACAAGCAGAAAATAAGGAGTTTTCCATCCCACTGCTGAAAACAGTGCAGGATTGGGATCAAACTCTTATGATACCCCAATCTGCTACTCACTGCCTATGTTAGCCTCTAAATGTGGCATTTGAGAGGGGCCGAGGGGTAGGACAGTTTCTCCCCTGACTGGACTGGCATCACTTCTGACTCTAGATTGGATCATTAGCGCTGGAAGCTCAGTGTTGTTCTCTTGGGATGGATACAGAAGTGGACTAGACACACAGTGAAGGTGGCTTCCCCTCATCTTGTGGCTACAGGAGCAGCTGCTGATGAGTGAAGTCTGGACATCATGATGCAAACATATAGCTTCCAGCAAGAGGGCTCCTCAGAAAGAGACAACCTAATTGTCTAATGATGAGTGGACATTGAGCAAATTAGGTTTATTCACTTACAGAGTATGTGCAAGTCATAATTTGAAGACTATTTACTATATGGGAAAATGCTTATGATATGCACTTAAGTTTCAAAAGTATATGCATGACATGATTATAACACAAAAATTAAACCCTCAAACTGAAAAGGAGAATCCCCTAGAGACTGCAAACATGCACTATAAAATGCCATTCATGGTTATGTAAGATTTACAGAATTTTCTCTCTCTCTTTTTAAAAAATGTATTTTCCAGATTTTGTAGTGTGATTTATAATACCTTTAAAAATGAAAAAAAGGGGGAGAAAGACTATATATAAAGGAAAAGGGTGTATAAAAACAACAGAAAAGAAATTTGAGTGGAAAAGGCTTAGCATCCTCTTGCCATCCATTTCTGATCAGTGTGGAAGTGAATTTAGTCAGTGAGCTCTAAATTTTCGAAACTGGGCTTTAGTGTAAAACTAATAATGAGAAGAGTCAAGACTGAGGAGAAATACTCAGCACATAGTGGATTTTGCACTCTTACCTTCCTCGAACTGAATGTGTGTCTCTGACAGCCACATCATGCTTTTCGTTTGTTTTTGCCATCTTGGGGATCAAACATGGGCCTTGGGCATGCTAGGCAAGAGCCCTACCACTGAGCTACATCCAACCCCTATCAGCTGTATCGTGCTACAGTTGCCTCTATGTGTGGATCTCTGTCAGATCGAGAGCTTCTTGAGAGCTGGAACTGAATAGGAGTTGCTCCATAAATGCTTGTTGAATTAGAATCCTAAATACTTCGACTACTTTTTTACACAGAAGAGCATTTTTATATCCTAAACCAGACAGGTACCCTGCAAATGTGTGCTAACCACTAGGTTAGCACCTAGTGGCAGGGTGGAAATTCATGTACTTCAACATTTCCTTTTATTTAAGGAGTCTTCTTAGTTGCTAGAAATTAGTGAAAACATTTTTCATGTTTGGTTTTGGAATCAGTTCTCCCACTCACCTCAAATAGAATTGGCCAAGATTCATTTGTCAAGGATCACTTTTGTATTCCAAGACTTACAGACCTGAGCAGTATAACATAGCCTCTGAAATTTTCTGAGAATCCAATATTGAGCCTAGTTCCAAAAAAGTAATCTACTTCAACTGAATTTGCACTGTTCAGCCTTGTAGAATAAATATTTTCACACAACTGGCATTGATTCAGAGTGGTTTCTTTTTCATTCCTGCAGCCTATGTGGGAAGCTACTCTATTTTGCTTGTAGGTAATACAGGACTGTCTGTGCATAGCTGCTCTGTATACAGAGGACTTTCATTCTCTTTATTTACCACTAGACATGGAACATAGATGTTATTTACAAGAAGCTGGTTGACAAGGAAGTCTTGGCATTTGTACTAGCCCGAACCTCGGGACACTGGTAGAGAAATGAAGAAAATGTTGATTGCTTAATGTAATATGCCATTCCAAGAACATCAATGTTGCAACAGAGGTCTCTTGCTTTACCCCAAGGAGTTGTGTCACAGTATACAGGTGGCTGCATGTTCTTCCTCACTGGAACCTGTGTTTTTCAGGTAGCAACAAGTATCATCTGTTGGGTGGGGCAGAAAGAATTTGTTGTCTAAAACATATGCTAGAAATTCAGAGTACCAAATGAGAAAGCATCTTCAATACCATCTCTGACCCCCTTATTTTAAAATGTGATAAGACCCAAGGAAGTGAGTTTAGTCACTGAAGGTTACCCTGCTTTTCAGTGTCACGTGGGAATTATTAGCTTCCCCCGCTTCTAATCCAGTGGTCTTTTCGATAGGGCCTGCTTTTTCTACCTAAATTAATGGAAGATCCCTAAGTTTCCTGAGATATCAAATTACTGTATATTGAACACTATAATGTTAAAAATATAAACAGTATGATCGTTTTGTGTATCCTCTATTGAAATCCTAACTATGTAATAACTACCAGAGACCAATTGCAGAAGGAAGATTCTTGTTTGTGAGGTTAGCACTACATAGTTTTTCAAATCAGAACATTCTCCCATATGTCTGCCTGATTTCTTCATGCTAAAATTCCAACCGTGTTCCTTCTGCACTTTCTCTAGTTGATAAACCTTTTAATGAACTTGGACTATTGATTTGTTGCAAGTGAGCCAGTGATTATGGCCCATTTCATTTGGTAGTGTAGGATTTTAGTGGAAATCATTAAAAGACTTAAAGCAAATGGAATAAATTGTTTAGAAAAGAAGATTCTCCAGTTTTCTTGCAGGCAGACCTGAAGCTCTTGAGTATGTAACAGACTTTAAAATTAAGGAGTGTGGAACTGAGCACTGACTGTTCTTTATGTCTTGTGGATATTTTCCGCTCACCTTCTTGGGCCCACAGATTTGCATGTTTTTAACCTAACAAGAAACTGTCAGTAAAATGTAATGAAAAATAGAACCATATTTTTGCTATGGTTATTTCAGGCTAATTGTCTCTGCCAATTTAAGAACAGAGTTTAAAGATCTTTTTGTAGTTTTTATTTAGATGCTGAGTCTATTCTCCTACTGCCTGAGAAGTAGGACAGCCACAGGAAAGCAAATTATTCCAAATTCCCACTAGTGAAATATGTTTGTTCTGATTTTTCAAAATCAGCAGCAAAATGTACTCCATTATGAATACTTGAATTGTCTCTTTGCTGACTAACCTTACTGTGCATGCAGAGTTAGAGGGAAAGCTTTTTGTGAAAGGGCTTTGTTATCCCCAGAGTCTTGGGATGAGGGGAGAGAATTAAATACAGAAAAATATGTGATATGACTTTAAGTTTGGAAATATTAGGGTATAGTGAACAAATTTCCTTTGAAATTTATGGCATGGGCCCTTGTCTTAACTATATTGCTAACATTGGTCTTTTTTGGGCTCTAGTTCAGATCAAAACCTGTGAAAACATAAAGGTTCTCTGTTAAAAGTCAGGATGTAGCCTAAGAGTGTAGTTCAGAGGTAAAGCACTTCCCTAGCATGCATAAGGCCCTGGGTTCTAAACCAGTACTGTTAAAAAAAGAGTCAGTATGGAGTTGCAAATGAAGATAATTTAGCTTACAATTGCTTTTAATGCATATAACATCATAAATGTAAAAAAGAGAAATACTAATTCCTTTTCTTTTCAGCTACTCTGTGACTGTGCAAGAGTCCTACCCACATCCCTTTGATCAGATTTACTACACCAGCTGCACCGACATCCTGAACTGGTTTAAATGCACACGGCACAGGTAATTGAAGCTCAGATTTGTTTATGACTTTGGCTACCAGAGGATGGAGTCAGAGATGTCAGTTATTCTAGAAAGTGCATCCAAGCATTCATCAAAGTTGTTGAGGGCTACTCTCCTAGCCTTGCTCCTGTGATCACAGAGGCACAGGAAGACAGGGGTTAGTCTACAGCCAGTGGCAGCTTTTGTCTAACTTCAGAGCAGACACCTGTGGGGAGCAAGAACTCTCCCAGCTCCTGAGTGATGGATATCACCAGATATCAAGAAACTCATGTCACCAAATGTGTTTCTAATTGAATATCTGACTCAATTTATGTTTAAATTTAACCCTTAACTAAAATAAAGTGTATATATATATATATATACATATATATGTATTTTATATATATATATATATACATATATATGTATTATATATATATACATATATATGTATATATATATACATGTATATATATATATATGTATATATATATACATGTATATATATATATTATATATATATACATATATATATATAATTCATACATATGTATTATATATATATATATATACATATATATATATATATAATACATATGTATGAATGTAGATGTAAAACCAACACCATTAGAAGGGAATCTGGTACCCTAATTTATCAGTTAAATATTTATTTAGTAGAATGAGATATGGATTCAATGTGGCACCTGTTTTATGACCTAATTATCTGTTTAATGTGTGACTTTATTAACCAAATTCTACCAAAGCCACCTTTCCCAATGAAATTTAAGTCCCTTGAAGTGAGGACTTTACATTGCTTTGTTCACTGCTATTTCCTCAGTGCCTAGAATAGTGCCTGGAAACAGTAAATGCTTAGTAAACACATATATTTGAGTCAGTGAATGATGCTTTAGTTAAGTGGGACAGTGTCTATTAGTGTTCTTTTTAAAGTAGGATGACACTATATGGAGACTTTGGTTTTTGGCCCTACTGGGGTTTGAACTCAGGGTCTCTCACTTCTAGGCAGGCGCCTTAGCACTTGAGCCACTCTGCCAGTCCCTATACTGAGATTTTTAAAGAAATTGTCTAGTTTTTTTCCTTCAAAAAATTATATATATGTGAATGATGCTTACATAGGTATCATGCATGAAATTAATCAATACTTTTCAAGTTATTTCAAATTAAGTGAAGTAGGGATATAAGGAAACACCAATTCCTTGAAATAAAATATAGGTTGGCTTAAATAGGGAATCTTAATATATTCACAGCAGCAGATTGATGAGTTAGCGTAATATATACGATCTTTCTTCTTGTTTTGAAGTACTTTGCTTTACATACATTTATTAAAGCTAAAAATGCTTTTAAAAATTAAAAAAGAAAGTATTTCTGATCAAACTGGTGGTCAGAAGAACTAACAATGTGATATTTTTCATTTATATAGAATCAGTTATCGGACAGCCTACCGACATGGGGAGAAAACTATGTACAGGCGCAAATCTCAGTGCTGTCCTGGATTTTATGAAAGCAGGGACATGTGTGTCCGTAAGTGTGACCTTTCAGTCCTTTGATTTGCACTTGTGTTCTGCAGTGCTGGTTTACTTCTTTAATGCCAGGGGTAGAGTGGGGGGTGTGGGCTGCAGGTTGGGGTGTCTCAGAACACCCCTTTCAGTCTTTCAGTTCCTTACTTTCTTAGTTTATGAATAGGGAAGTATTAATTTTGTCCCCATCTTACCAAAAATCTCCAAATGAATATTGATTGAGGAGAAAACAGCTGTTACAGAAAGATAATTTAAGCCTGTGTGTGGCCATGCTAACCACCACCGTAAGTGTCTCATTAGTTGGTCCAGAGTCATTGGACTTAGGTCAGTCACAAAAGAGAACAGAAACGTAACTTTCCTGACCTGTGCTAATTGACCGAGCTAACTTTGAATGATGAAGCTTATTAGGTGTAGGGGAGCTTCTACATTAAGAAATGGCGGTATGACTGGGTCACAAAGTAGAACTTCATGTTTACTGTCATCTTCCCCCTTTTCTCCACTCTCCCTCTCACCAATTCATTTAGAGATGTCTTGAGAGAAGTTTGGGATTTTGTGGGATTGGCTTGGCAGTTGAGGTTTCTTATTATTGTGTATAGATCACTTAGAAGAGAGATTATGAAAAATCATTTTATTCAAGTATTTTGGCTCAACACACAGCTAGAGGGCACCTCCACTTCTTGAGTGAAGACACTGATGTTGAGAAGCATAGAGATGAGGATGTGCTGCACTGTGGTGTCAACAGGAATGCCTGGACAGCTCTGAGCTTAGCCCACTGTTCTGCCACTACTCAGCTGGGTGGCTTGGATGAATCATCTGTGCCTCACTGAGAGGGCTTGGAGGGGTACATGCCTCAGTTTCTTTGCATCCTTCAGATTGTATTCTTCATGCAGTCAGGGGCAACTCTTCAACTTTCATTCAGAATCAGGACTAATATGGTAATAAATGTTTGTGGAAAACAAAAATAGACTACTAAACAAAAAGAGGAAAATAAAAATACATGTAGCACTCTAGCAGTCAGTGAATGTACTTCTCTGACATAATTACTGCATTATAGATATTTATTTAACCAATCTCAATTGGTGAATATTTTCTTGACTTCCAAGCTATATCTACTATGAACTACTTCAAAAAACATCATTGTGATTAAATAAGTGCTCATATCCCCATTCTGTAATGCTAAATTCCTAGAAGTAGAATTGCTGAGCCAGAGGTGTACATATTTCTATGACTTTTGTAGTGTTTCCAATTTACATATATACCAGCAATAAATGAGAATGCCTTTTAGCTTATACCCTGTGCCAATTTTTCTCAATTTACATGTCTTTGATTAATAATGATGCTGAATAAGAAAAACTACACATTTATAATCAAATGTCTTAGAGACTAATCTTGCCTGGACTCAGCGGCCCAGGGTGATGGGAACCTTTCAGAAGAAAGCAATGCTGAGGCCACAGAGCTGGGGGTGGGAGGGCCTAGCTGGCTTGGCTGGCAGTCTTTCAGAGGCCTTGGGTGACAGTGCCACAAGCACAATTGTCAACACACTGAGAGAGTACTTCATAGGATTTACATATAAAGCCAAGATGCTGGTACTTTCCACAGAGCTTCAAGAGGTGGTGGGGCCTTTGTTTTCCAGACATAGCTTCTGTCCTTGATGTCCTGCATGTGGGAACATAGATTTCACAGGCAAGCTGGTGTGGGAAGTATGGACGCAACCAAGGTCAGTTAGAGAGAGTTTCAGTGTTTCATGGCACCCGTCATCCATAACACAACACCTGTAATTTTATTCATTGGTGTAGCCCTTCATTGGAAATTTCAGTAATCCAGTAGCACTATCATACCTGGGATTATACTGGTAAAATTAAGCCTTTATCTCCCTTTAGACAAGTTGAAAGGTATCTCCAAGATTGCTTGGATGACCATCTTTATCATTTGCCTCTAAAATTCCCCCTTTTCTAGGCCAGCGCCCCTAGAGGCTGAAACATTTTTTCCTTTACATATGCTAATCTATTTAATCAGCTTACTGTCTACTCTCACTGGCCTAGGAGCTACTTGGTCTCTTTAAGGGTAATTTTGCATTTCTCAGCTGTGATGTCTTATTTCATTATCGAACCCCCAGAGACAGACTTACTTCTTTCTTGGCTTACTTCCTTTTTCTTGGGGATGCCTTGCAGTAACTCTTCTGTGCTCTGGACAGCTGGCCTAGCAAGGCACCCCTGTGGATACAGAAGGAAGAGCAACACAGGATTCTATATTCTGTTTTCATCATTCCTTTTTCAACCAAGTTTTGCTGTCAGGCAGGTAGCATGGGCACCATTTTTAACTGTTCCAGTTGCCAAAAGGAGTGGAAAGAAGAATCGGTCCTCATTTTAGTTTTTTTTCATATGAAATGGGCATCATTTATTAAGAATTTCCTTACTGTAATATTACAATATTGCTGGTATGAGCATATTTAAAATTTTAGGTAATATAAATGAAAATGAAAACATTCTCTGGTTTGCATAATCTTTTATGTTGAGCCTTGAAATGCCTTATAATTGTTTATATGTTGTATATATGTATTATTTTTTTGCATTAACTGCTGATAGCTATAATTTAATTTTTGATTGTCAGTTTATCTGGAAGGCAAAAAAAAAATGATGCTTTCCTGTAAATACCTGTATTTGACAAAAGTTTCTTTTGGTAACAGAAGTAGCTTGTGGGAGAGTAAGTCCCATCCTTACCTTCCCCTCTGCCAGCCCCTCCACAGCAGGTCATGCTGCACAGGGCCACCTAGAGGCTTGGCCTGGGATTGCAGTGTTGTTGGCTGCTTGGCTTTCCTCCCACAGCTTTCCCTGGGGACCTGGCTGGCTAATCCACTGTCACCTGTGAGCAGCATCTTCTCCAGGACTCAGAGATGTTTCTGGAGAGTTTCCTGCCAACCCAAAGTTGGCTGTAATTGGGAAAGGAGAGGCCAGAGGCCCACTTGGCTAGGCTCACTGGTGAAGGGTTTGTGGGATAGAGTTCATCTCAGAACTGCTAGGAGAACTTGTGGAGGCCACCAGGAGGGGCTGACCTTGCAGCTTAGTGTAACCCATACTTGGGAGGGATGCAGGATCCATCTGCAGTTCCATGTAAAGACATTTATTGTTCCTTTATGAGTCATTTTTTCCTTATCATAGGAAAAAATCAGATTCAACACAATGGGTTCAATTCAATTGAATTTTAACTACATCAATTATATGTCTAGAGGGTGAACACTTAGCAATTAAATACATTCCTGAGTGAGACATACTTTCTGACCAACAAGGGTTTGTCCTAAGAATTTTTAAATGTATTTATGACAAAACAAAGTAACAGTTAACTTTATTGAGTGCTTGTGGTGTGCTAGGCATACATTATCTTATTAAATTCTTAAAACATAGATGAGGAAGCTTAGGATTTAAGACAATAAATAACTTTTACAGTCTGATCAATTATTGATGGGTGGTGGAGAAGGGTGCTGGTATATATTCTGAATGGAGACTAAGATACTTCACATAAATAAAAGAAACAAAAGCAGTAGACCAGTTTAGTGAACTAAAGATTATTTAACTCGTGTTTACATTATATATTGCCAAAAATTTCTTAACTGTATTATGGTTACATGACTTCAGAGATTTAAAAAGTTTTTAGAGGGGGCCCAGCTACTTGGGGCAAGGAGTTAGAAGAATCCCAATTCACGTTCCAAGGCTAGCCTGGACAAATGTGGGAGATCCTATCTGAAAAACAAAATTAAAAAAAGCAAAAGGACTGTGGCATGACTGAAATGGTAGAGTACCTGCCTAGCAAGCATAGGCCCTGAATTCAATCCCCAGTGACACACCCCCCCAAAAAAAAGCAGAGTCAAAAAATACAATTTTGTTCACAAACTCAATTCTGTGTTCTCTGTATTCAATTCTATCTCTTCCTTGCTCTCTCTTTTTTGTGGTGCTGGGGATTGAATTTAAGGCTTTATGTATGGTAGGCAAGCAGTCTACCATGCCCTAAGTTCCATTCTTTCTCTCTCTCTCTGCTTTTCTCTCTCTGTCTGTCTCTCTCTAAAACTAGGATTTGAACTCAAGGCCTTATGTTTTGCTATGTAGACATTCTACCACTTGAGCCATGCCCTCAGCCTTCTTTTTTTTTAAATGATAAATTTCCATGAATAATTTTTTTTCTTTCAAAATTAGATTTTCCAAAGTCTCCTGACAGCAAAAGACTTTAGGGAAATCATGAACGTGTGGTGACTATGTCTTCCTCAACCAGGAGACTGCCCAGTCACTGACCTCTGGCATGGTCTAAAGTGGTCAGCACCTGCTGCCTGCACAGGCTCCTTTCAGAGATCTAGAGAGTGAGGCTTGGCAGGTGCTTCTTCCTTCTTCCTTCTTCCTTCTCAACTTTGTCAAGGGATAAGCACACAGCTCCTACGTTCTTCATTTACACATTCATGACTAGAGTGTCCTGGAGTTAATCCTTCGTGTGGATTCACTTGGAAACTGTCTCAGGTGTGGCAGAAGCTGCCGGCCCATAGAACACACTTTGAGTAGCGAGGCTGTGTCCAGAAGGTAGACACATGTCCTTAGGCAAGAAGAACCAAAACAGGGAGGAAAGGAATAAAGAACAGTATGGTAGGAAGACTGTCTTTTTTTTTGGTGGTGGTGGTGGTGGTTGGAGTTTGGTTGGGAAAAAGAAAGGATTGGAAACTCTTTCAAAAAGAATGTGAAGAAATTTGTGACACCTTCATGAGGGCCTTTACTCTGTTCCTAAATTTAATGAAGCTGTTCATCCTTGGATTAATTAGCATTCTTGCCTGATTTGATGTGTTTATTTATGGTGAATTTTAAGTGTTAATGAGAAAATGCTCAGGAAATGAAATGGTTTTGATGTATGTGTTTATGTGTATATATTTGTGTGCAAGTGTGTTTGTGTGCATATCCAGATACATGGGGATTTTGTTGTTGTTTTTGGGCTTTTTTTCTGGTAGTACTAGAGTTTGAACTCTGGGCC